CTTTCACATTTATGGACTGAACACAACATGGCTCCCCAAATTCATGCAGATGTTTGAGCCTCAAAGTGCTACCTTTATGCTAAGGGGTGGAAGCTTGAACCAAGTGTGATGTCTGTTGGTGAGGCCTTTGGGTAGGAACTGGGTTAGGTTCACCTGCTTGGGGGTGGGAGGTCGGGAGGCCTGTGATGAAACCTTGAAAGTTTATTAAGGAGACACCACACTGAGTGTAGAGGAAGAGGGTGCTCCCTGTGTCAGCTTTGTGGCCCCCCAGGTGATTGGTCCGCCACATCTCCTCCACTATTCTAGGCTCCAGGATGAGGGGTCTGCTCAGCCTTGCACCAGGAACCTCAATGTCAGTGAAGATAAGCTTTTTTCCCCCTTCTATGTTGACCCTGTCTGATATTTCAATTAACGTAACAAGAAGTTAATACAACTGCATTTATTTCACCCGTGGTTTTTCAGTATTCTATTTCATTCATATCTGTTCTGATCTCCATTATTTCCTTTTCTCTGCTTATTCTGAGTTTCATATGCCCTTCTTTTTCTAATTCTGGAAGGTAGAAGCTGAGGTTATCAATGGTGTCCTTTCCAGTATTCATTTAGTGGAACCCACTAACTTTCAATTCACTCAAAATGTATTCTAGTTTCATTTTTGTATTTTCTCATTGGCCAATAAATTATCTAGAAGTGTTATCTAGCGCCAAAATATGTGAGTTTCTTTTTCAAGAATATCTCTACTATTGACTTCTACTACTTAGTTATTTGTATTTGAAAGGCAGAGAGACACACAGAACTTTTCCATATACTGGTTCACTCCCCCAAATTCCTGCTGCAGCCAGGGCTGGGCCAAGCTGAAGCCAGGAGATGAGAATTTAATCCAGGTCTTCTGTGTGGATCCAGAGGTTCAAGTTCTCTAGTTATCACCTCCCAGCCAGTGCACTCACAGGGGCTAGAAGCCACTTGAACCACTACTCCCCCTCAGGGTATACATTAGCAGGAAGCTTGGAGCAGAAGCAAGGCAAAGATTTGAACCCAGACAGTCCAATTTGGGTTGGAAGCATCCCAAGAAAGGTCTCCATTGCTAGGCCAAACCTGTACAGCCAGATTTTAAACTATTTTTTAAATTGACTTTATTTTTATTGGAAAGACAGATTTGCAGAGAGAAGGAATTACATGGATGGTGTGGACCCTCCTTCCGTGGGTCCACTCCCCAAGCAGCCACATTGGTCAGAGCTGAGCCAATCTGAAACCAGAAGCCAGGAGCCTCTTTTGGGATCTCCCATGTGGGTGTAGGGTCCAGGCACTTGGATTACCTTCAATGTTTTTCCCAGGCCACATGCAGGGAGCGGGACGGGAAGTAGAGTATCCAGGACATGAACTAGTGCCCACATGGGATCCCAGCACATACAAAGGAATCCTAGGACCCAGTTAGACCTGTTTTTAACTTTTATAACATTAAATTTTTTAAATTATTGAGTCATTTTTATGGTCCAAATATGGGCTGTCTGGGTGAATGTTCCTTGTGTATTTAACTGGAATGTGCATATTATTGCTGTTGGGTGGTACCTTCTATAGACATGTCAAGTAGGGCTCAGCATGATGGCTGGATTGGCTAAGCCTCTGCCTTGCAAGCTCCAGGATCCCATATTGGCACCGGTTTGTTTCCCAGCAGCCCCACTTCCCATCCAGCTCCCTACTTGTGGACTTGGAAAGTCGAGGACAGCCCAAAGCTTTGGGATCCTGCACCCACATGGGAGACCTGGAAGAAGATTCTGGCTTCTAGCTTCAGATTGCCTCAGCTCCGGCCGTTGTGGCCACTTGGGGAGTGAACCAGTAGGTGGAAGATCTTTCTCCCTATCTCTCCTTCTCTCCATAAATCTGATTTGCCTTTCCAATAAAAATAAATAAATCATTTTTTAAAATGTGAAGTTGATTGCTCTTGTTCAAATCTTTCACACCATTGCTTCTTTTCTTTTTCTTCTTTAAGTGTTTATTTATTTTTAATGAAAACTCAGATCTACAAAGAGAAGGAGAGACAGAGAGAAAGATCTTCTGTCTTCGATTCATTCCCCAAGTTGCTGCAATGGTTGGAGCTGAGCTGATGTGAAGCCAGGAGCCAGGAACTTCTTCCAGGTTTCCCTTGAAGGTGCAGGATCCCAAAACTTTAGGCCATCCTCTAACTGCTTTCCCGGGCCACAAGCAGGGAGCTGAATGTGAAGTAAAGCAGCCAGAACATGAACTGGTACCCATATGGGATCCTGGTGCATGAAAGGCGAGGACTTCAGCTACTAGGCTAATATGCTGGGCCCTCTTTTTTTTTTTTTTTTTTTAAGATTTATTTATCTTATTTGAAAGTCAGAATTACAGACAGAATGAGAGACAGAAAGATCCACTGGTTCATTTCCCAAGTAGCCACGATGGTCAGAACTTGGCCAGTCCAAAGGCAGGAGCCAGGAGCTTCCTCTGGGCCTCCAATGTGGGTGCTGGGTCCCAGCACTTGGGCTGTCCTCCTCTTCTTTCCTAGGCACATTGGGATCAGAAGTGGAGCAGTTGTGACTTGAACACAGCCTATATGGGATGCTGGTGCCACAGGGTAGAGAATTAGTGTGTTGAGCCATGGCACTAGCCCCCATCACTTATTTTCTACCTACCCATATGAAAGTTACTAAGAGAGAATGCTGAAATTTCCAACTTTAATTCTGATTCTTTTGTTTGTCTTTATAGTTCTATTTTTTTTTGTTTTATATTTTGAAGCTCTGTTCATAGGTACATAGTTTTAAAGTTTTGATGAATTAACACCCTTATCGTTGATCCATTGAAATGAATCTTTTTTATATATAGTGGTATTTTGTGTTCTGAAATATACTTTGTCTGATACTAACAGTGTCATTCGTTTTCGGACTGTTAATGTGGTACAGCTTGTCCAATCTGACCATCTCTATCTCTTAATTAGAGTAACAGGTTGTTTACTCTTGTGTTTCACTTCAACAAAATATGTAGGGGATTGCTTTTTTTTTTTTAACTGTGGTAAAATATACAAGATTAAATTTACCATCATAACCATTTTTAAGAATACAGTTCAGGGGGCCCGGCGCGGTGGCGCAAGTAGTTAAAGGTCCTCGCCTTGCACGCCCAGGATCCCATATGGGCGCCGGTTCTAATCCCGGCAGCCCCGCTTCCCTTCCAGCTCCCTGCCTGTGGCCTGGGAAAGCAGTAGAGGACGGCCCAAAGCTTTGGGAACCTGCACCCGCGTGGGAGACCCGGAAGAGGCTCCTGGCTTCGGATCGGCATAGTATCGGCCCGTTGCGCTCACTTGGGGAGTGAATCATCGGACGGAAGATCTTCCTCTCTGTCTCTCCTCTCTGTATATCCGCCTTTCCAATGAAAAAATAATAATAATAAAAAATAAATCTTTAAAAAAAAAAAAAAAGAATACAGTTCAGGGCCTGGCGGCGTGGCCTAGTGGCCAAGGTCCTCGCCTTGAACTCCCCGGGATCCCATATGGGCTCCGGTTCTAATCCCAGCAGCTCCACTTCCCTTCCAGCTCCCTGTTTGTGGCCTGGGAAAGCAGTCAATTTAAGGACGGCCCAAAGCTTTGGGACCCTGCACCCGTGTGGGAGACCCGGAAGAAGTTCCTGGATCCTGGCTTCGGATCAGCATAGCACCTGCCATTGCGCTGACTTTGGGAGTGAATCATTGGATGGAAGATCTTCCTCTCTGTCTTTCCTCATCTCTGTATATCTGACTTTCCAATAAAAAAATAAATCTTTTTTTTAAAAAAATACAGTTCAGTAGTGTTAAGTCTATTCACATTGCTATTCATCAAACCTCTAGAACTTTTTCTCCTTGCAAAATTGAAATTCTGGGGCTGTTGCAATGGTTCAATTGGCTAATCCCCTGCCTGCAAGTGCCAGAATCCCCTATGGGCTCTGGTTAGTGTCCAGGCTGTACTATCCTATTCGGCTCCCTGTTTATGCCCTGGGAACGTAGTGGAAGACAGCTGAAAGCCCTGGGACCCTGCACTCCTGTCGGAGACCCAGAGGTAGCTCCTGCCACCTGGCTTTGGATTGGTTTAGCTCTAGCCATTACAGTCATTTGGCAAGTGAACCAGTAAATGGAAGATCTTTCTATCTTTCCTACTCTGTGTAAATCTGCTATTCCAATAAAATAAATAAATCTTTAGAAATTCTGTTTTTAAGAGCTTTTTATTTTGGGGACAGCACTCTATCATAGTAAGTTAAGCCTCCACCTGTGGTGCCAGCATCCCATATAAGCACCAGTTCAAGTCCTGCCTGTCCCACTTCCAATCCAATTCCCTGGTACTGTCTCCAGAAAACAATGAAAGATAGCCCAAGTTCCCTGGTGCCTACACCCACATGAGAGACCTGGAAGAATTTCCTGGCTCCTAGCTTCAGACTGGCCCTGCTATGGACACTTGGTGATTTAGTTATTAGCCACTTAGCGACAAAAGATTCTGTTTCTCTCTGTCTCTCCTCTCTGTAATTCTGCCTTTCAAATAAAAGAGCATAAATCTTTTTTAAAAAAGAGGATTTATTTATTTTGGAGGTAAAGTTACAGAAAGAGGCTGGGGGAGAGATATCTTCCATCTACTGGGTCACTTTCCAAATGGCTTCAGTGGCTGGAGCTGCGCTGGTTCAAAGCCAGGAACCTGGAGTTTCTTCTGAATCTCCTACATGGGTGCAGGGGCCCAGGGACTTGAATAGGCTTCTGCTGCTTTCCCAGGTACATGAGCAGAGAGCTGGATCAGAAGTGAAGCAGCCAGGACATGAGCTGGTGCCTTTGTGGGATGCCACATAGAGTAAAGGCATGCTTTACTGTCTACACCACAGCACTCACCCCAGCCAAAGTGAAATTCTATAACAATTCAGCAGCAACTGCCTCCTTTCCCTCTCTTAGGCCCTGGCAATATGAGTTATGCCTGTAAGTTGAGGTACTCTAGAAATCCCATGTAGATACAGTCATACAATACACTTTATACTGTGCTCACTTCAGCAGCACATATCCGAAAATTGGAATGATACAGAGAAGATTAGCATGGCACCTGTGCATAACACACTTTATATTATTGACAGATTAAGTATCTGTTCTTGCTCTTTGTTTGAAATTTGTTCCTTTCCCCCCCCCCCCTCCTTTCTGCCTCTCTTACATGATTTTATCTCCCCTGTTAGCTTAGTGGTTAGAATTTTCTGTTTTGTTATTTTAGTGGTTGCTTCAGGGTTAATGATATGTATCTTATCAGTTTTCCTCACTACAGGTATCAGATAAGAACCTTCATGGGGCCTGTGCCACGGTATAGTAGACTAACCCTCCACATGCAGGGTTGGTAGCCCAAATAGGTGCCGGTTTAATACTAAACTACTCTACTTTGACCATGTCCCTGCTAATGAACTTGGAAAGCAGCAGAAGGCAGCTTAAGTCCTTGAGCCTCTGCACCCACATGGGAGACCTGGAGAGAGCTCCTGGCTCCTGGCTCCTTGTTTTAGACTGGCACCATTCTGACATTTGTGGACATGTGAGAAATGAGCCAGTAGGTGGAAGAACTTTCTCTGTCTTTCCCTCTCTTTATGTACTCTGTCCTTCTAATAAATTAAAAAAAATTATCCTGTAAAGAAAGTAGTATAGGGCTGGGCACGTGGTTGGTTTATTCACTGCTTCTTGAATTAATTCGTATTTGCAAGTAGTGATATTGGAACAAAACTCTGTTTTAGAAATTCAATAGTAGATGATTGGGTTAATTTTTTTTAAAGTTTGATGACAAATTATTGTAATTCATACTCAAATGAAGACCATATTTGTTTGTGAAGTAGCATGGATCCAGATTTTAAAGCTTCTGATGACACTATACAGAAAAGGTTTTTGAAAGGCTGGCTTCATGTGGACCTGCCTTTAGTCATTATTTTGAATTGTTTTCTTACAAATGACAAAATGACAAATGTGGGATCGACACATCTGCAGCAGAAATTCTGGTTATGGTTACCGCCAGACTCCCCGAATGCCTCGCACACAGTAAACTCCCAGTGCATATTTAAAGAATGGAACCCTTTTTGGGTAGATTATTCTTCAATCCAACAAGATCTAGCTTTAAAGTTTCAGTGATATCTGCAGCCAGCACATCTGTCTCCTCTTGTTACACACGGAGACCTTAACTGTAGCAGACCGGTGTCTCTTCAGGGACCCCCACCACAGGGTGCCCAGTTGGCCTAGCTATGCGACATTATTTTGTCAAAGTCAACACAGATGGGGCTTTCTTTCTCGATGGCAGATGCCAATGTTTGCCTTTGGAAATCTTCATGGAAGGGATCTGGCTTCTGTTCTTGCAATCAGCAATCTGACATAGCATTCCAACTTGTGGCCTCATCTTTGTGGGTTCTTGGGGTCCTAGCCCCCCTCTTAAATCTCCCTGGAGTCCTGCCAAAAACTTTACACCTTTCGAGTCCGCTTAAGTCTCCACAAAGGCATCTCCCACCGCAGCCATCTCACTCTCCCGTCTGCCCCTTGAGGACTGTTCTTTCCTTCTTACCCAGTACCTACCCAACCAGACCGCCTTGTCAGACCCTTGGAGTCTGTCTCAAGCGACTCATAAACATCTTCAGAAGAGAGGCCTGTGTGTACCTGATATAGCCATAATAATGACAGCCTGCATCTATGAAGTACCCACTGTGTGTCAGGGCCCTGAATGATTGCCATTCATGCCAACCCTGATATTGTCCTTTGTACCAAATAAAGACGCAAAGGCCCTTTGTCCTGGGGAGCTAGCAGGGCCTGAGCCTTCGACCCCACCCAGCACCTGCCATGGTGGCATACTGGGGCTGCTGTCACATCTGCTCTGCTCAGTGGCTGCTAGCATGGCAACTGAGCCTGCGCACATCTCCAGCAGAGGCCCTGTTCTGTTACTCACACCTTTGCTTGTTTTCTGTCGCTTGCTATTATTGAGAGAGCCAGAGGGAGACATCAAGATCCTGTGTGGTCCAGGAGGGAAAAGGAGAATAGGAAGGGAGATGCCTCTACCTCTCCCCCGGTCCCCTCCCTTGCAGCTTGGGCAGAGGGCAAGTTGAGACAGCTCTTTTTCTCCCACCCTGGCTCTCAGAGCCAGTCTGCAAACTGCAGCAGGGTGAAGCAGGAAGGAAGAGATGGTGGGAGGATGGGGGATGCAGGGCAGGGGTGCAGGGAAGGGATATTAACATCCCCCTGCTCCCTGGTTTCTGGGGCCCTTGTCTCCAGAGGCTCAGTCAACCGGATGTTCCTTTAGCTTGCCGGAATCTGGCTGGATTACAGAGATAAAATCAATCTGACCCTTAATTCCCCAAATGCAATTTATGGGCTTGCCTCCTGTGTGTGCCACAACACGTCTGGCTCCCCAAAATCTGGTAATTATTTATGTAAACACGGCATCCTGCCTTTGTGGAGGTATAATTGGACCTGCACAGGGGACTTACGCGGTTGGGACGGCACTGAAATTCCCCTTTGGAAAACATTCACCCAAGTCTTTGAAATCTTCCCTTGTGGCTCTTGGGTACCTTTCCGCAATAGAACAAGCCCATCCCCCAGCAGGTCTGGACAGATACATGTCCCAGCGCCACTAGCTGTCTGTCTCTGTGACTGGGGCCAAGAGACCCCAATCATCTTGGCTGGACCAGAGCTGGAAAGACATCATGAGTTTTGGGCTGGGCAATCCCCCACCCCCCACAGCCCGCATCCCTGTGTGTCTCCTCATTGTTGGAAAGTGCAGTTTCCTGCTCCCACAAAAGATAAACAGGGATTAGGGATTTGATGTTATTTGGAGAAGAGAAGAGGTGGCTGGTGCAGAAGAAAGGTCTTTGCCTTTTATCTCATGCCGCCAGTGTGCAAAGTCCCCATCCCCGGGATCCTTGGCTGTGCACACATGGGGGAGCCAGGGCAAGGGGATTAGGGGCCTGAAAATGAGTGAATTGAAGCTGGCGCCAGGAGAGGCTGTTGTGGTGGATGGATCTCTATCTTCCCGAACATGAATTTTTGAAAGGTCCAAACCGTTCTGAAGTGACTGCATTGGCACTCGTCACCTGTTTATGGCACCTCTTGCCCTTAAAGGTAGAAGCTACCACTTTCTGGTGAACCCAATTCTGGGAAATTCTTCATCCCAGGTACCACTGGTGAGGAATCTGTTTATTAATTAGGGAAAGAGAAAACTGCAAGGGCCAGGGGACTTGGGGGCCGGTGGGGTAAAGGGGAAGGTGGGGGGGGGGCGAGGAAGAGCAGATTTTGGCAGGGAAGACAAAATAAAACACCCCTGAATGATCCAAACAAACCTCCAAGTTGGAGTGCCAGCTGAGAAGATCATTTCCTCAGTAGCTGGGGGGCAAGCCACTTAACCTCAGTTTCCCCATCTGTAAAGTGGGGTTAATAATACTTACCTGCTGCAGGAGGGCTGTGAGGTTTTAATTGGGTAATGGCTGAGGAGTTCTTTGATGTCCTAAGTTTTATGAACTTACAAGGGATTTCCCTGAGGCCAGAAAAAGCAGTTAAGCCCAAGAGAGAAGAAAGGCACTGAAAGCAGAGCAGAGCTCACTGAGGCATTTCACTGCCGCTCTCATTTCAGAAGTGCAGGGTGGAGGCTGCTCACATGCAGTGACCAGGCCTGGGGGCTGGCGGAATGGCATGGAGGGAGGGAGGGAAGCCTGAAGGCTCTCTCAGAAGGAGCACAGCTTTCAGATCGCGAGGGCGGGTGGGGTGGAACAAGAGTAGACAAATAACCTTACCTCATCAACCACTGTCCTTTTCTTTTAGAGTTCCCAGCGAGAGAGTTCTTGTGGTGTCCAACCAACGTCCCTGGAACTGAATCTAGAAAGCCCCAACCTCTTGTCTCCTGCTTCCCAACAATTAGATAAAAACACACCTGGAGGTCTGCCCTCTAGCTCAAGCTTCCGACCAGAGAAAAGTGGTGGGTGGAGGGAGGACTGCAGTGGCTGAAGTCCAGAACACTGGGTCTGCCACCAAGCTCTGTCCCTCACAGCTGGACACACTGGCCAGCCTACACACGGCTATGCCATGCCTCAGTTTCCCCCTCCATAAAAGTCATTTTTCACCAGGCACTCTGGCCTTGGGGGCCCAAATCCTTAAGATTTGGGATGTGAAAGTGCACTAGGATTATAAAGCATCCTTAAAGTGTCAGCTGTGCTAACTCACATTGAGGGCTTTAAACATAGCCCAGCCATTTGCACAACTTTCTCCAAGCCAAGTCATTCAAGCATGAGAAACCTCTTCCCTAAGGATCTCTGATCTCCCCTCCTGTACACACATGCTGCATGCCCGGCAGCCAGTCAAAATTTGGGCATTGGCTGCATGGACACGGCCAAGGAGAACAACCGACTTTGTCCCTGTTTGCCTAATACTGTTGCGGTTTCAGTGCTAAAAATCTTGTGTCCCAAAAGACTGGGACGATGCTCCCTTTAAGGGTGGTTGGAAGGTGCCGGCAAACAGTTAGTTGCCAAGTGGCAACCGTTGAGCACCATAGGCATAAGGTAGAAAGAGGAGGCAGTGTGCTGCGGCAGCATCCCAGGACCCTAGCTCTCATTCCCAGATGTAGCACTTTTCAAGGACCTCAGTTTTCTCACTTGTAAAGGGATGGGGTATGATTGAATGGCTTTCCCCGCTTCTTCTTCCAGGACAAACAGCTACAAAGAGAGGTCTGACCTTGTGCACAGCCTAGAGGGCAAGCTGGGGGAGGGAAGCGGTAGGCCATACAGCGTGAGCACATGTTGGGGACCCCTCTGCTCATGGGGTTGAGCTCTCTAGTGCTCCTGAGACCCCAAATGCTCTTTCCTTTGTGAGAATCCAGCACATGGCCAAGCGGCTGTGGGTACCCATGAAGGCTGCCTTCCACCCAAAAGTGGCCATGCTAGAAGTGCCATGCCCTGGGAACATGGAACTTTTTTGTTGCAAGGCTGTGATTGGTTCAAGTTTGGCAGCGCAATCACTCAGGTCCAAAAATGAAGGCCATTTAAAAGATTCATCATGGGCCCTACTGCGTTTGACTGAGCCCTACATGTTCTAAGTGTGATTTCCTGTACCTGTGTTTTGTGTTACAGTGTTAAGGTAGCTGTAGAAAG